ACCCGGATGCACTTGACATCCCGACTCCGCGCTCTTACGCGGAGGCGATAGAGGGTCCCTACTCCTCTCAGTGGCAGGCAGCTATGGACGCAGAGATGGCTTCCTGGAAGTCCACAGGCACCTACGTTGACGCTGTTCCCCCTCCTGGGGCGAACATCGTCAGTGGCATGTGGATTTTCAGGGTGAAGCGACCGCCGGGTTCTCCGCCTGTCTTCAAGGCGCGTTACGTGGCTCGTGGCTTCAGTCAGCGGCAGGGAGTTGACTACTTTCAGACCTTCTCTCCCACCCCGAAGATGACCACTCTTCGGGTACTGCTGCACGTAGCTGCTCACCGTGACTACGAGCTACACTCTCTTGACTTCAGCACTGCTTTCTTGCAGGGCAGCCTGCACGAGGAGATCTGGCTGCGTCGCCCACTTGGTTTCACTGGGTCTTTTCCTCCTGGCACCCAGTGGAGCCTACGGCGGCCAGTCTACGGTCTCCGCCAGGCACCGCGTGAGTGGCACGACACACTGAGGACTACACTTGCGGCTCTTGGGTTTGCTCCCTCTACTGCCGACCCGTCGCTGTTTCTGCGCACCGACACTTCTTTGCCGCCGTTCTACATCCTCGTGTACGTCGACGACTTGATCTTTGCCACAGCTGACACTGCTGGACTCGCCCACGTGAAGTCCGAGCTGCAGAAGAGACACACGTGCACTGACCTGGGTGAACTGCGCAGCTACCTTGGCTTGCAGATCACTCGGGACAGAGCACGCCGCACCATTACCCTGACTCAGTCACACATGGTGCAGCAGGTCCTTCAGCGCTTCGGCTTCACGTACTCCTCGCCTCAGGCCACTCCTCTGCCTACTCGCCACTCGCTCTCAGCTCTGCCTTCGGATGAGTCCGTAGAGTCGAGTGGCCCATACCCAGAGCTTGTTGGCTGCCTCATGTACCTGATGACCTGCACACGACCTGACCTTGCATACCCTCTTAGCATTCTCGCACGCTATGTTGCTCCTGGGAGACACAGACCGGAGCACATGGCTGCAGCGAAGAGGTTGTTGCGCTACTTGTGCAGTACGTCGGGCATGGGGCTTGTGCTTGGAGGGCAGAGTCCAGTGGTCCTTACTGGGCACGCAGACGCTTCTTGGGCTGACGACCAGGCTACGCAGCGGTCGTCACAGGGTTACACCTTCAGCCTTGGTTCCGGCTCTGTTTCGTGGCGGGCTACTCGCTCGTCTTCTGTTCTCGGCTCCAGTTGTGAGGCTGAGATCTACGCAGGAGCCATGGCTGCACAGGAGCTTCGCTGGCTCACCTACCTGCTGACTGACCTCGGAGAGCCGCCTCGTTCTCCTCCAGTGCTGTACGTAGACAACAAGGCCATGCTGGCCTTGTGTCGGGAGCAGCGACTGGAGCACAGAACGAAGCACATTGCTCTCCGCTACTTTCTTGCTCGTGAGCTGCAGCAGCGTGGTCAGCTGCGTCTTGCGTACGTGGCCTCTGAGGCCAACACTGCTGATATCTTCACCAAGGCGCTTGCGCCTTGTGACCATCAGCGCTTTTGTACTCAGCTGGGCCTTGTGCCTACCTTGCCTCACTTGCTCACCTCTTGACCTTGCTTGTACTGTTACATATATATATACCTGCTCTTGCTTGTCTAGCCTTTTTTATATATGTGTACTCCTGCATGTGAACTGGCCTTGTGGCCTTGAACTTGTGCTCGGAATGTGTGGTGACTTTGTGATCCACCCTGAGCTTGCTTTGCTTTGCTTTGCTTGACTGGTCTTGTGACCCCTTGTTCTCCCCCACTTTGCCTATGGGGGTGTTTCAGAACATTATAGCTCATGCATATTGTGTAGGCTATAGTGGGGTAGCCCATAAGGGGTACAACCCAATTAGGGTTAGTACTTGTACCCAATTCATTCATAGTTCATCCATTCCTCGTTTCTTCTCACGAACCACTGACAAGTGAACGAGGCGTTCGCCAGGGTGACCCCCTGGGCCCACTTCTGTTTGCAGCAGGGATACACACCACCCTCCGCGAAGTTGCAGAGACACACCCCGACGTGCTTTGTTTGGCGTATGCGGACGACGTCACCTTTCTGGGTGACACAGCCCACACTGTAGCGGCTTTCAACACTTTCACTGACAAGCTGGCACAGCTGGGCCTTACGCACAACCCACAGAAGTGCGCAGCCTGGCGATCGAGTGCAGTCAAGCACGCTCAACTCCCGCATGGAGTGCCGCTTTCAAAGGACGGCGTGAGGCTCTTGGGTAGTTTCCTGGGGCCGGATAGTGGAGCGGCTAAGTATCTAGCGGATCAACTCGACGAGATGGCGAAGCCGTTACCCCTTCTCGAACAAACCGACCCCCAAGTAGCGTCACTGCTCATCACGCGATGTATCTCTCGTCGGGTAGCTTACCTCACTAGGACGACGCCCTTACATTTTCTCCCCCGCGAAAAATGGAGCCAGTGGGGAAGGGACCTCCTCTCCGCCCTGCTCACATCATGCGACATACGCGTCCCCACGTGTAGGACCGAGCAAACACGAGTCTGGGAGCAAGCGTCGCTGCCGCCATCGCTGGGAGGCATAGGCATCACTGACCCCCTGATAGAGGGGATATACGGTTTTTCGGCAAGTTTCACACAGGCGGCGCTGCTTCTCTCCTCCCTCACGCTAGATCCACGGAACGCCCTGGCACTAGCGCAGAATCACATGCTACTGCCGCGGGTCACCGACACGCCCTTACACACGTGGCTCACAGAGTGCGAGACGGCCCTGCCTCTAGATGCAAGAGAAATACTGGAGAAGGAGCGGCTCGAACGGTCTGACGTGAGGCTCCAACACGTGCTCGGTCTTAAGGTCCACGGAAGCAGATACGCCGTGCAGGTCCAGGCTACAAGGCGTATGCAGCCGAATCCGCTCAAGGGTCATACGCAGCGGATGTTCTTTTTGACGGGTTACGGCACCGGCGACTGGCTCACTGCAATCCCCATCGAACCCACACGGCGGATAGGTCCAGTACACTACGCCAACGCCGTACGTTTCCGACTGGGGCTACCGTTTTCAACCCCAAAGAACTGTGACTGCGCCGACCACACAGCTATCACTGACCCCCGCCTCCCGAATCACCTACTCCGCTGCGGCACAGGCAAACATCGCATCAACACACACAACGAACTGCGGGATGCCTGCGTTAGCATGGCGCAAGACGCCGGGTTTATAGTTCACAGAGAGTCGGCCGCATACTGCCCTATCGAGGAACAAACGGCCGACTTCAGTATAACGGACAGAAGCAGTGGGGCGGTTTATATCTGTGACGTCACCGTCACGGATCCCATCAGCACCAGGGATCCCGAGGCACAAAAGGGCAGAGGGTGGGCGGCCAGGGAGCAAGCTGATAAAAAGATTAAGCACTACGCCAACCGCCCTGAGACGGTTGGCTTTTTCCCGCTAGCCGTAGACACCTACGGCTGCCCATGCGCAGAGGTACCCACCTTCCTCAAACTCCTAGCGGACACAGCGGCTCGGCGACACTTCAACGCCGACTCCAAATCATTCTACGCCGCCAAGTTCCTACACCAGTTCCGACAGAGATGGTCGGTAGCTCTTCAGAGGGCCCAGTCGGTGGGGCTCCTACTTAAGCTGGGTGAGGCGGCGGCGGCAGAAAACCCTACAGTTGGAGGCATAGGGCAGGAGATGCACCTTGGGGACTGCTTTGCGGTGGTTGAACCAATTCTGGAGCTCTAGAGAGGATGGTGGTGTGTTCGTTGTGTGGCATGCTTGCTTTGTTTGTTCGGTTGTCAGTTTGGTTCGCTAGACATTGCACTATACCCTGCATGTGTGTACTATCAAACTATATCAATACAAGGTCCATTAGAGAGAGAGAGAGAGAGAGAGAGAGAGAGAGAGAGAGAGAGAGAGAGAGAGAGAGAGAGCATCGCATCGCATCGCATCAACACCCATAACGAGCTGCGCGATGCCTGCATTAGCATGGCCCAAGACGCGGGGTTCATTGTCCACGGCGAGTCGTCGGCGCACTGCCCCATTGAGGAACAGACGGCTGATTTTACAATGACGGACAGAAGCAGTGGGGCCGTCTACGTATGCGACGTCACCATTACCGACCCTATTAGCACTAGGGATCCAGAGGCGCAGAAAGGCAGGGGCTGGGCGGCACGGGAGCAAGCGGACAAGAAGATCCAGCACTACGCCACCCTGCCAGAGACGGTGAAGTTCTTCCCACTTGCGGTGGACACCTACGGCTGCCCCTGCGCGGAGGTGCCAGTCTTCCTGAGGCTCTTGGCGGACACTGCACCTCGGCGCCACTTCAACGCCGACTCCAAATCGTTCTATGCTGCAAAGTTCCTGCACCAGTTCAGGCAACGCTGGTCGGTGGCCCTGCAAAGGGCCCAATCTGTGGGCCTCCTGCTCAAGCTCGGAGAGGCTGCGGCAGTAGAGAACCCGCCTGTGGGGGGAATTGGGGACGAATTGCACCTTGGGGACTGCTTCGCAGTCATTGAGCCCCTAGTGGAATTGTAGATCTGTGGTGCTTGTGCTTAGCATGTGTGTTACCTACGACTCTATGACTTGCATGCTTGTACTTGCCGACTATTTCAATACAAGGACCATTAGAGAGAGAGAGAGAGAGAGAGAGAGAGAGAGAGAGAGAGAGAGAGAGAGAGAGAGACCCTTGTTCACTAAGTCCCTTCAACTTAGTCCCTTAGTGTAGACTAGTTCCTTAGTGTAGCCTACTCCCTAGCTGTTTCAGTTTAGTGCCTAGGTATATAAGGGCATAGAGCCCACTTTCATTCTCATTGTTCGGTGGTGAGCCCATTCTCACTGCGAATCCAGCGGCTCGCGCGTGAGGGGACGGCAAGTTACAACAACACTAAAGGAGAGAGATACAAGATTCGGCACTAGAAAGGGCCCACAAAACAGGGGCAAGGTAAGTAGGAGAGTCAAACATGGGGAACAAGAAGGCAAACAACGTCGCCAACAGGGAGCAGGGCGCTACACGCGGTTCAGCACGTAAAACCGCCGGCGCATCCAGCGCAAGAGAACAGCGAGCGCAGGCACGAGCTCGAGGGGAGACTCCTCCGCAGCCTTGGCTACCCGCAGGAAAGCCCGCGCGCCAGGGCCCTCGTCCTGCTCGGGGAACTCGGGCTCCAGGGGCAAACGGAGGAGGCGCCAGAGACCCTGCGCCGCCGCCTCCCGGACAACACCCTGCTGGGGCTCCGTCAACTGAGGATCACGGAGAACGAGGTTCCGCGCCACCAAGCCGGCGTGCAACTGCTCGAGAACGGTCGCCACATGCGACATGCACTCCCCAACCGCCACCATCCGCTTCTCCCAGCGGAGGATGTCCTTCACAACATCGGACTGGATGTCCCACTCGCGGCCCCACAGAGTCGCAGGCTGAGGGGGGGACTCCCACAGCTCCCCATTCCACCACCGCTCGTCGTCCTCGGGGTCAGGAGCATCGGGGGGAAGCTCAGGAGACCGGGCGCGAGGAGGAGGAAATCGAGCTTCAGGAACAGGCCCAGACAGAACCAGGGGATGCTGCCACTGCGGAGGCTCGACAGGAGGAGGAGAGGCGGAGTGAAGCGGCGACGAAGGGTGGCTCACGAGGGGTGCCCCTGCCGACGACGACAACGGGGGAGGCGCTAGAGGAGGGGAGGAGGGGGGCGGCGGAGCAGGGAGCGGGGCCGACACCGCAGGGGGAGCTGGCGATAGCGGCGACAGCGGTGGAGGAGGCGCAGCGACGCCAGACGACAGCTGCGGCGCCGACGTTAACGCAGGGGAGGCCACCACGGGGGACGAGGCAGTTGGACCAGACGACTGCTGCTGGGACGACTGCTGTGACAATGACAGAGGAGGCGGAGGTGGAGATTGTTGCAGAACCAGCGGAGGGGGCGCCGAGGGATGCGGACCAAAGATCTGCCGCTGCAGGCCAAGCGGGGGCCGAGGCGGTCGGCGACGACGGAAGGAACCACCACGGGCCCGCAGATGAGGGTGGGTGCGCCTGTGGGGCGAACGATATACCGGCTCACGTGGACGAGAGGGGGCTCCGGCCCCCTCGCGCGCGACCAGGGCAGCGGCGGCTCGGAGCAGGACTGGCGCCAGCTGTCGGGGCCTCAGGCGGGCTGGGAACAGCAGAGCGCCCTGCTGCGCGACCCCGCCGCAGACGCTTCCCCGTCATCACAGCAGCACCGCGAAGCCCGGGAGGAGGGTGAGGTGGAACGACGTGCGATAGAGCAGGCAGACGCCGAGGCACAAGAGGAGGAAGCGGTGCTGGCGGCAAGCGCCGCGGAACGGAGAAGGCGAGCGGGTACAAGCCGGCAGCAAGTGCTTCAGGAACGCGCGGACGAACGAGCCGCAGGCCACCAACCGCGAAACGCGGCGGCAAGGGCGGCCACCAGAGGCCGGGGGCGAGGCAGGGGCAGGGGCGGACGCGTGGGCGAGCTGGTGAGAGCAGTGGCACGAGAGAAAGCCAGATCTGGAAACTGGCGGGAACGACACGGGAGGCCAGAAGAAGTAGGGGAGGAACCAATGAATGAACATGTGCAGGAGGAAGGGTCAGAATATATGGGGGGATAAGAGGAGGAGTCAGAGGACGAATCGGTCGAGCCAGAGGATGGGAGGCCTACACAGGAGGGCGGGGGCGGACGACGTGGAGGCAGACAGGGACGGGAGGATCGTGAAAATCACGCACAGGTGGGCGAATCAGAGGCCCAGCGGGCCAACGAGGCTGCCAGCAAGGAGAGGGCCCCCCTGAAGATTGCAGAGGATGAGAACGCGTGGCAAAAGATATTGGAGTGGGACCTGGGACCACTCCGTGCCAGCGCACAACCGTTCCTGGTCCGGAGACTCCCTCCAGAAATCCTGAAGGTATACAGTTTCTGCATGACCGTACCACTGCTGCGACTCTCGAAGTAGCCAGATTGCCTCGGCGCGTGGAGGATGTTACAATTCCTCCCCAGGCTCACACTACGCGCGGAAAAGGAAACAGCACCTGGGAACAGATGGTAGGCAGTCGAGGCTCGGCTTCGACAGTTCCGAGAAGAGGAGTGGGACGCACTGTATACCCAGGCCAGCACTTTCCCACCGAACTCGAGACCTGACAGGCACGAACCGGATCCGGAGGGAATCTGCACCAGAGCTGAGGGGCTGGTAAGGAAAGCCAACCTGGCGAAAGCGACAGCAGCGTTACACACCTCGCCTCTGGCCGAGCCCACGCAGCGAACACTGGGAGCCCTCATCTCGAAACACCCTGCCCAGGAAATGGCGACAAAGGAAGGTATTACAGGTTACGCGACTTCCGAGCTCGCAATCAGTGCTGAGTCGTTTCGCGAAGTGTTGGCGAAATGCCCAAATGGAGTGGGAGCAGGGCCGTCAGGGACATGCTTCAAGCACATACGAGACCCCGCCTTAACCAACTGGGAGGTCTTCGCACTCCTTCACAAACTAGTTAATTGGCTGCTAAGCACCTACCAGAACGAGGCGGTACAGGAGCTGCTGCTGCCATCTCGGCTAATCGCCTTAGAGAAGCCGGACGGAGGCGTCCGACCGATAGCGATAGGGGAGGCGCTACTCAAAGTGGCGGGCAAGGCAGCGCTAAAGGAGTTGGCGGGGCAAATCCGGGAATACTTCCTACACGTCCAGTTTGGAGTGGCGGTGCCCGGGGGGGCGGAGTGTATCATCCACTCAACACGGGCACATGTGGCGGAGGAGCCAACGAGGGTGATCCTACAGCTCGACGTCGAAAACGCGTTCAACGCCGTGGAGCGCGGAAGCTTCCTCTCGACGCTACGATGGACGGGCCTGGCACCACTCATGCCCTTAGCGCGCACGCTCTACGGAGCTCCCTCAAAACTCCTGCTGGACAGCGGATTCGACACGCCTCACATCATCAGTGCACGGGGGGTGCGGCAGGGAGACCCCTTGGGACCAATGTTATTTGCGGCGGCAATCCGACCAGCGCTCCTCGCAGCGGCAGAGGCGGACCCGACAGTGACAGTGATGGCGTACGCGGACGACATCACGATCGTAGGGGAACCGGCGAAAGCAGCGAGAGCACTAAACAAGATACGGGATGACCTGAGAACCTGCGGCCTACGATGCAACCTGGCCAAGTCGTCCGCCTGGAGCCCATCGGGATTTACAGGACAGCTGCCAGACGGCCTGGCAACGGCAGTGGACGGAGTCAAGGTGCTAGGGAGCCCAATCGGCACTTCACAGTTCTGCCAGCGCACCATCAGGGGGACACTCGAGGCTACGGCGGCGCCCTTGGGGCTCATCGAGAAGCTACACCCGCAGCACGCGCTACTAATACTCTCACGATGCATCTCGCGCAGGATCTCGTACCTCCTGCGAACAACACCAGCAGACGTGCTCCCCCGGAGGGAATGGAGAGAATGGAGCGAAAGACTCCTGTGGACAACGCTGAAAGTGGCCCACCTCCACACGCCAAGCAAGGAGCTGGAGCAGAGCCTGGTGTGGAGACAGGCGACTCTGCCGGTCGCGCTAGGGGGTCTGGGAATCATAGACCCACTCTCAGAGGCTCCGGCGGCATACCTGGCGTCTCTACAGGAGGCGCGGACTCTCCTACAGCACGTGTCGACAGGCCCCAGCCACCCCCTACAGAGCATAGCAGCACTGGTGTCACCACACGGGGACGGAGCCGTGGGGGAAACGGGGACCTCCATCAAGGACCTACGGAACAGACTCCCCGAAACGGCCAGGGAGCTGCTCCGGGAAGCGGATCGGAGGGGGGGAGGGAAAAGGACGACTGCAGGAGCAACTCTCCAGGCTGGTCAACATGGATAGGGCCGCGGAGCTGGTGGGGGACACACGCGTAGACAAGCCAGGAGAAGACAACGGGCACGTGGTCCGCCTTATCAGCCTGTTGGGGGTGGGCGCGGGGGACTGGCTCCATGCCATTCCTACGCGCGCGGACCTCACGTTCTCACCAGGGCAGTTTGCAATGGCCCTGGGGTTCCGACTTGGCTTGACCTTACCCGTGACTGACAAGTGCCCGTGTGGCAAGAGACGGTCCAAGATAGAAGACCTAAGCCTCCCCAACCACCTGCTGAGATGTGCGGAGGGGAAGGACAGGACGAACACACACAACACCCTGGTGTACGCAGTACTACGGATGGCCAACGAAGCCGACTACATGACTGCACATGAAACCACGGCCTTCTCGTAAATTGTTAACCCCAAGCGAGCAGACCTGGTCATCAAGGACAAGGAGTCGGCGGAAACCTTCGTGACCGACGTCACAGATCTGTGCCGGGGGGGGGGCGGAGGCGGTCATCCACGCTGCCCGTGCATTTTTGGACGCCCGTCCCAACAGTCTGGTACTGCAAACGGACATCTCCAACGCATTCAACAGCATTTCACGACAAGCCATCGCCAGTACGTTACACGACCCCAGCCTTTCGCCACTGCTCCCGTTAGTCAAGCTGACATACGGTAACCCGTCGCTGCTGCACATGGATGCAAACTTCAACAGCGTACCTTTAAAAAGCGAACGCGGGGTTCGCCAGGGCGACCCACTTGGACCACTCCTGTTTGCGGCGGGAATACACCCCACACTTCGAGAAACAGCCGAGGCACATCCGGATGTACTCTGCCTGGCTTACGCGGATGACGTCACTTTCCTAGGGGAAACTGCTCGAACTGTTGCAGCTTTTTCGTTCTTCACAGACAAACTGGCATGCCTGGGACTGAGGCACAGCCCACAGAAGTGCGTGGCCTAGAGCTCGCACACGGTTGATCAGACAGAACTTCCGCCAAGCGTGCCGTATTCAGCAGATGGGGTGCGGCTCCTGGGCAATTACCTGGGGCCCGACTCGGGGGCGGCCAGATTTTTATCCGGACAGCTGAAGAGATGGCGAAGCCGCTGCCTCTCCTGGAACAAGCTGACCCCCAGGTAGCGTCGCTCTTAGCCACGCGCTGCATCTCCAGGCGTGTGGCTTACCTCATCAGAACGACGCCACTCCACCTACTCCCCCGAGACAGCTGGAGTCAGTGGGGACAGGACCTGCTAACGGCGCTGCTGGTATCATGTGGTATCCGCGTTCCAACGGGCAGAGCCGAACAAGCGCGCGTCTGGGCGCAGGCCTCCCTACCCCCGTCACTGGGTGGCATCGGCATCACGGACCCCTTAGTAGAAGGGGTATACGGCTTTACGGCGAGTTTCCTCCAGGCTGCGCTCTTCCTCTCCTCCCTCGAGCTAGACCCAGAGAATGCATTGACTCAGGCGAGGAACCACATGCTCTTGCCACGGGACAATACGACGCCACTGCACACATGGCTTACCGAGTGCGAAGCGGCGTTGCCAGGGGACGCGAGGGAGATTCTAGAGAAGGAGCGGCTGTCACCCTCGGACATAAGGCTCCAGCATGTGCTTGGTTTGAAGGTCCACGGTAGCAGATATGCCGTGCAGGTCCAGTGCACGAGGAACATGAAGCCGAACCCCCTCTCAGGCCATACTCAGAGGATGTTCTCCCTGACAGGTTACGGAACCGGTGACTGGCTGACAGCTATCCCCATTGCCCCAAACAGACGTGTAGGACCCGTGCACTTCGCCAACGCCGTGCGCTTTCGGCTTGGCCTCCCGTTTTCAACGCCGAAGAAGTGCGACTGCTCTGACCACACAGAAATCACCGACCCCCGCCTACCAAATCATCTCCTCCGCTGCGGCACAGGAAAGCACCGCATCAACACCCACAACGAACTACGGGATGCATGCATTAGCATGGCGCAGGACGCGGGGTTTATCGTGCACAGCGAGTCGGCCGCCCATTGCCCCATCGATGAACAGACGGCAGATTTCACTATGACCGATAGGAGCAGCGGGGCGGTCTATGTGTGCGACGTCACCATCACTGACCCCATCAGCACAAGGGATCCCGAGGCGCTGAAAGGAAGGGGATGGGCGGCACGGGAGCAGGCTGACAAAAAGATACAGAATTACGCCAGCAGGCCGGAGACAGTTAGCTTCTTCCCTCTGGCCGTGGAAACCTACGGCTGTCCCTGCGCCGAGGTACCGGTCTTTCTGAAACTTTTAGCAGACACAGCGGCTCGGCGCCACTTCAACGCCGACACCAAATCATTTCATGCCGCCAAGTTTCTGCACCAGTTCAGACAGAGATGGTCAGTGGCCCTGCAGAGAGCCCAATCCGTGGGCCTGCTACTAAAGCTGGGGGAGGCAGCGATAGCAGAGAACCCGCCTGTAGGCGGTATCGGGCAGGAGTTGAACCTTGGGGACTGCTTTGCAGTGGTCGAACCCTTCCTAGAGCTCTAGAGTGGTAGTTGGTAGGACCTGTGGCTATGTTTGTTTGTTTCTATGACTTGCATGCTTGTATTCCGCGGTTATATCAATACAAGGACCATTAGAGAGAGAGAGAGAGAGAGAGAGAGAGAGAGAGAGAGAGAGAGAGAGAGAGAGGGAGAGAGAGAGGGATGGCCTAGGACTGGTCCTTAGCCGTTTTTCTCTAGTGTAGGATCCAGTCCTTAGCCGTTTTTCAGTCTAGTCTCCTAGTATATAGTCCTTGGATGCACCCTTTTGACCTCATTCTTCACTGGTGAGTTTAGTTCACTCTCCAAAACCGCCGGCTCGTTCAAGAGAGAGCAAGAGAGAGAGAGAGAGAGAGAGAGAGAGAGAGAGAGAGAGAGAGAGAGAGAGAGAGAGAGAGAGAGAGAGAGAGAGGGATGGCCTAGGACTGGTCCTTAGTCGTTTTTCTCTAGTGTAGGATCCAGTCCTTACCCGTTTTTCAGTCTAGTCTCCTAGTATATAGTCCTTGGATGCACCCTTTTGACCTCATTCTTCACTGGTGAGTTTAGTTCACTCTCCAAAACCGCCGGCTCGTTCAAGAGAGAGCAAGAGAGAGAGAGAGAGAGAGAGAGAGAGAGAGAGAGAGAGAGAGAGAGAGAGAGAGAGAGAGAGAGAGAGAGAGAGAGGGATGGCCTAGGACTGGTCCTTAGCCGTTTTTCTCTAGTGTAGGATCCAGTCCTTACCCGTTTTTCAGTCTAGTCTCCTAGTATATAGTCCTTGGATGCACCCTTTTGACCTCATTCTTCACTGGTGAGTTTAGTTCACTCTCCAAAACCGCCGGCTGACGTGGCTGCTGCGGCTGAGGTGACGAGGACGGCGCGGGAGGGGACACAAACGGCTGGGACGGCGGGGGGAGTGTCTGCTGCCGAGACTGCTGCCGCCTCTGACGGCGGCTTAACTTCGCCCGCTGTGGTGCGCCCGACTGAGCCGCCGCTACTTGTGGGCGGGGGTCGGGCCGCGGAGGAGTGTCAGACGGTACCGGAGTTGGCTGCATCCCCGTCACCGCTCGGGACGGCTGAGGTTGCTGCGGTCGTGGCTGAGGCAGGGAGGCGACAGCAATTACCGCCGAACGCAGAGACGGCGCCGCCTGCCGCTGAGTCCGCCGGAACCTCTGTCGCTGCCGTGGGCGCAAACAGGCAGGGGCACGGCCGGGCGGGGAGTGGTAGACCGGTTCCCGGGACTGGCGTCGCTGCTTGCGCTGCTCGCGGGAAGAAGCTCCGCGCCCAGCCAACACCGAGGCGGCCCGGAGCAGGGCTGGGACCTGGCGTCCCGGGACCCCTCCTGGGCTGGCTGCTGCAAGGGCAGTCGCCACAAGTGCCAGCGCATCCGTCGCCATCTCACGTCGGAGCGTCTGTGGCGAATTCCACCGGGCAGACAACGACGCAGGCTGCGCCGACGCAGGCGCCGGGAAACCAAGTCCGCGCCACCAATGAGGCGCCGGCGGTGACAAGTACAACAGCGGCAGCAGCAGGCACGAACGTAGCGGCAGCGGCTGTAGGGACCAGGCGGTCGGCACGGCTGGGAGCGATAACCTGGGGACCACCACGGGGTGGCCGCACGCCGTGGATGCCAGCGGGCCGCGGTGGCAACGGAGCGGCGGAAACGGCGGGAGCGGCTGGGCGGGGACAACGAGGGGTTTTGCGCGGGGGGATGAGAGGCGGAAGGGGAGGGCGCAACCAACCACCCAGATCGGAAATCCCCGTGAGGACTGGTCCCTGGCGGGAGCGTCACGCCAGGCCTGAGAGGATGATCCTGCAGACGAATGAGGGACAAGAGGTTTATGACAACCCCGGGGCCGATCCAGAATTTATGGCTGGGGAGGAGGAGACCTCGGAAGAAATCTCGTTGGAAGACGAGGAGGCACCCAGGAGGAGGAACAACCCTGAACCCCAAACCGGGGAGGCGGAGGCGGCGGGGGGTATTCCCAGCAACCCAGCTGAAGGAGGAGCACCTGCCACGAAGGAGACTGATGTGCCTTCACCGGCCGACCTGGCAGGCGATGACGCCATCTGGCACATGGCGGGGGAGTGGGATGTCAACGTGCTTCAGCGGGGGGACCAGCCATTCCTCGTCCGCCGGCTGCCACCACACCTCCTGGACAGATACGGTCTGTGCATGCTGGCAGCACTCCTTTGCCTAGATAAAAATCCCAGCTGCCCAGGTGGTTGGATGGTGCTGCTGTTCCTTCCGAGGCTCACCCTCATGCCTACGCCCGAACCTGTCTTGGGGAGTCGCTGGGCAGCAATTGAAGCCAGGCTGCACAAATTCCAACGAGGTGACTGGTCCGAGCTCTTCGAGGAAGCGGGAGTCATCCCCGACACAGGAGCCCCGGTACGGCACCAGCCTGACGAGGAAGGGGTTTGTGCGCGAGCGGAGGGGTTTGTGAAAAAAGGAAACATCTCGAAAGCAGTAGCAGCTCTGCGAACGTGCCCCCTAGCTGAAACATCCCCGGCTACACTTGAAGCTCTGCAAGCGAAACACCCTGCAGCGGGTAGTCAGATACCAGCGTGGGTTTCCGGAATCACAGAGTCCGAATTGGCGGTTTCGCCGGATACGCTTCGCGAAATTCTGGCGAAGTGCCCGAATGGTGTGGGAGCGGGACCCTCTGGTACGTGTTTTGAACACCTCAGAGACCCCGCCCTAGCCAACGAAGAGCTGCTGCTGCTTTTCGCCAAGATGGTAAATCGGCTGCTCAGCATTTTCCAGGCCTCCCACGTAAGGAAATTGCTACTGCCGTCCCGTCTGATCGCTCTAGAGAAGCCGAATGGGGGAGTGCGGCCTATAGCGATAGGCGAAACCCTGCTACGCATAGTAGCGAAGGCGGCGCTGCATACCCTAGGGCCCAAGATTAGGGACTTTTTCCTACCAGTTCAGTTTGGCGTGGCAGTTCCAGGAGGTGCGGAGTGCATCATCCACACCGTCCGCTCTCTACTCCGCGAGGACAAGACCCGCATTGCCCTCCAGCTAGACGTCGAAAACGCCTTTAACAGTGTCGAGCGACGGGCTTTCCTAGGCTCGCTGCAGTGGTCCAACCTGAGCCCGCTACTTCCCCTTGTCCGTAACCTGTACGATGGTCCATCGCCATTGCTCGTCGATGCTCGACTGGGAGTGGAACAAATCATGAGCTCACGCGGCGTCAGACAGGGAGATCCCTTGGGCCCTCTCTTGTTCGCGGCAGCGATCCAGCCGGCCCTCTTGAGTGCCTCGGCGACAACACCGGAAGTAGCAGTGGTAGCCTATGCGGACGACATCACCATTATCGGCCAACGGGAAGCAGCGTGCCGTGCCTTCACCAAGATAGTAGGCGACTTGGCCGAATATGAACATTTCAAAGTCATCGGCGTGGGGAGCTGTGCACGACGGAGATAACGAGGAGCTACCACTAGGCTTGGTGGCGGACCCGGGCGGGATACGAGTCCTTGGCAGCCCTATCGGCAGCGACGACTTCTGCACCGCCCAAGTCCGGGCGGCACTGGGGGAAGCTGCCTCGCCCCTTCCTCTTGTCTCTCAGCTCAACCCGCAACATGCCATGCTCATAGTCTCCCGCAGCATCTCCCGGCGCATCTCATACATGCTGAGGACGACGCCGGCGACGACCCTGGGCACTGAGGAATGGAGGGACTGGAGTGAGGCATTGGTTGGCTCGGCGCTCACGGCTGCAAAGCTCCGCATCCCCAACTCGGAGCTGGAGCAGAGCTTACTGTGGCGACAGGCTACCCTCCCGATTCGGCTGGGCGGTCTAGGAATCATTGACCCTGTCTCGGAGGCCCCGGCTGCCTACATCGCTTCTGTCACGGCAGCGCACAGCCTTCTCCAGCACCTGAATCTTCCCCCGGACTGCCTGCTACACAGAGCAACGGCCCTGCTCTCCCACGATTGGAGCCCACCACCGCCGGACAGCAGCACACTGTCAAGCTTAGAGGAGGGGCTGCCAGCTCAGGCACAGGTGGCGCTGGGAGCCTACAGGACGGGGAACAAGGGCACAGGCAGCCTCCAGCTGTGCCTCTCCAAAATCATCAACCAGCAGCGGGCAGTCGAGCTCCTGGGGGACACGGTGGTGGACAGGCCTGGCACCAACAGAGGTCACGCGCTGAGACTGATAAGCTTGAGAGGGACTGGCGCGGGCGACTGGCTACACGCGGTACCGACGAGAGCTGACCTCTCTATTTCCCCTGGTCAGTTCTCGTTGGCCCTGGGCCTACGCTTGGGCATGGAGTTGCCGGTAGCTGACGTGTGCCCGTGCAAACGTGACAACTCGGCGATCGGGGACAAGAGTTTGCCGAACCACCTGCTGCGCTGCCAGGACGGGGGTGATGCCGTCAGAACCCACAACGCCCTAGTCTATGCGGTGCTGCGGATGGCTAATGAAGCGGGCTACAAAACGTTTCATGAGACCTCAGCGTTCTCACCACCAGTCCTCAGGAAACGGGCAGACCTAGCGATACGGGACCAGGAGTCAGGGGAGACATGGGTGACGGATGTCACCGTGACGGACCCAGTATTACAGAACAGAGACAGCAGGGCCCGCAGGCCGCCTGGGTGGGCCGCGGAGGAAGCCTCACAGAGGAAGCATCGGCTATATGAAGGGCGCCCCACCTATGCCGGATTCTTTGGACTGGCTGTCGAGACCTACGGGGCCATGGCGGCCGACACAGTCCAGTTCCTTCGCATGCTAGCTACCCACGCGGCAAGGACGAAGTTCAGACAGGGGCGCCTCACAACAACTGCTGCTCGGCTCACTGCACACTACCGACAGAGGTGGTCGGTGATGCTGCAGCGCAGCCAAGCCATCTCACTCCTCTCTAAGTCCAACCGAGCAGCCGAAGCGGCATTCCCGCAGGCTGCGGGGGACCCCTGGGCCCCACGGCTAGGGGACCTCTGGCAGATGGTGGAGGATGAGTATGAGGAGCGGGAGGCTCCTGCCAGGGCGGCTTAGAGGGACAGGAGGGAAAAGATGGCGACGGAAGGAAAGTGAGGGGAAGCTGCAGGGGGCAGAGGGACTCGGGTAGGGTCGGCGGAGCCACAGGACAGAGGAGAGGGAGGTATTCGGGGTTTGGCTCTGCTGCTGGCTGGCCGGCCTGTTACAATGATAGGGGACTGGACCATACACACACGGCATGCCTGCTCGGCCTGCACTGCTTGCCTTGCTTGCCCATTTGCTTGCTTGTTTGCTTGCATGTTCCGTTTGTTGGTTCTTAGGTTCCTGCTTGCCTACAGGCTTAGACAAACTAGCTGCAACCATCTCCTGCCATGTCTGTACCTCGTGACCACTATCAATACATGACTACTTGAGAGAGAGAGAGAGAGGGAGAGAGAGATGGCATAGTGTTAGTCCTTAGCCATTTCTAGGCCTCTCTTCTCTAGGATCCAGTCCTTAGCCATTCCTAGGCCTGTTTCCTTAGTATAAAGGCCCTGGATCTAGGCTAGTGAGCTCATTATTCACTGGTGAGTTAGGATCACTCTCCAAATCCGGCGGCTCGCTCGAGAGAGAGCGAGAGAGAGAGAGAGAGATGGCATAGTCTTAGTCCTTAGCCATTTCTAGGCCTCTCTTCTCTAGGATCCAGTCCTTAGCCATTCCTAGGCCTGTTTCCTTAGTATAAAGGCCCTGGATCTAGGCTAGTGAGCTCATTATTCACTGGTGAGTTAGGATCACTCTCCAAATCTGGCGGCTCGCTCGAGAGAGAGAGAGAGAGAGAGAGATGGCATAGTGTTAGTCCTTAGCCATTTCTAGGCCTCTCTTCTCTAGGATCCAGTCCTTAGCCATTCCTAGGCCTGTTTCCTTAGTATAGAGGTCCTGGATCTAGGCTAGTGAGCTCATTATTCACTGGTGAGTTAGGATCACTCTCCAAATCCGGCGGCTCGCTCGAGAGAGAGCGAGAGAGAGAGAGAGAGAGAAAGCATAGTCTTAGTCCTTAGCCATTTCTAGGCCTCTCTTCTCTAGGATCCAGTCCTTAGCCATTCCTAGGCCTGTTTCCTTAGTATAAAGGCCCTGGATCTAGGCTAGTGAGCTCATTATTCACTGGTGAGTTAGGATCACTCTCCAAATCTGGCGGCTCGCTCGAGAGAGAGAGAGAGAGAGAGAGAGAGAGAGAGAGAGAGAGAGAGAGAGAGAGATGGAATAGTGTTAGTCCTTAGCCATTTCTAGGCCTCTCTTCTCTAGGATCCAGTCCTTAGCCATTCCTAGGCCTGTTTCCTTAGTATAAAGGCCCTGGATCTAGGCTAGTGAGCTCATTATTCACTGGTGAGTTAGGATCACTCTCCAAATCCAGCGGCTCGCTCGAGAGAGAGCGAGAGAGAGAGAGAGAGATGGCATAGTCTTAGTCCTTAGCCATTTCTAGGCCTCTCTTCTCTAGGATCCAGTCCTTAGCCATTCCTAGGCCTGTTTCCTTAGTATAAAGGCCCTGGATCTAGGCTAGTGAGCTCATTATTCACTGGTGAGTTAGGATCACTCTCCAAATCCGGCGGCTCGCTCGAGAGAGAGCGAGAGAGAGAGAGAGAGATGGCATAGTCTTAGTCCTTAGCCATTTCTAGGCCTCTCTTCTCTAGGATCCAGTCCTTAGCCATTCCTAGGCCTGTTTCCTTAGTATAAAGGCCCTGGATCTAGGCTAGTGAGCTCATTATTCACTGGTGAGTTAGGATCACTCTCCAAATCCGGCGGCTCGCTCGAGAGAGAGCGAGAGAGAGAGAGAGAGATGGCATAGTGTTAGTCCTTAGCCATTTCTAGGCCTCTCTTCTCTAGGATCCAGTCCTTAGCCATTCCTAGGCCTGTTTCCTTAGTATAGAGGTCCTGGATCTAGGCTAGTGAGCTCATTATTCACTGGTGAGTTAGGATCACTCTCCAAATCCGGCGGCTCGCTCGAGAAAGAGCGAGAGAGAGAGAGAGAGAGAAAGCATAGTCTTAGTCCTTAGCCATTTCTAGGCCTCTCTTCTCTAGGATCCAGTCCTTAGCCATTCCTAGGCCTGTTTCCTTAGTATAAAGGCCCTGGATCTAGGCTAGTGAGCTCATTATTCACTGGTG